GTGTCTTCCAGCCGCCAACTCCGCCGGACGACGCCACACTCGCCGGCCAAAGTTTCGAAAAACACCCAAACTTCCGATCGGGATATCTTCGCCGTCCGGTGTCCGATTGAGGTGATTCCGGTCCCAATAGACTCAGAGCGAAGAGACGAAGAACACCGTACCAGCAACACGGTTTGATTCTGACCGGAGCACCGCCGCCCGTGGTGGTCAGATTTCTCACCGCTGCCCTCATACCTCCCTCCTCCGGCTGCCGTGAACGACACCGCCCAGCTCATTAGCTTCAGAGGGAGCCGACGAGTCGTTCTGGGCCACAAGCCGTGGTCACCGCCGTTGGCTTGCCAGAAAATGAACCGCCGCCGCCGTGAGAAAAATGGGAGGATGGTTCCGGTGATCTAGCCGTTGGATCATCGTGATCTTGGTGTCAAAATACTCAGAATCTCACGGGTAATGAAAGCCATCAATTAATTTTGAAGATCCGTGGCTGAAAAACAAAGATTCAAGACTCGAAATTCGGCCAAAATTGAGGATCTCGATCCGAGTTGTTAGAGGCCGAATTTGGTAAAATTGACATCGCCATTGGATTCAGAACTATTGATTTTAAGGGGGTAAGACCCAAGTCCGCCGCGGGATTCTTCACTGGGAAGCTCCGCCGCCGTACCGCCGCCGCCGGTGGCCGGATTCCGGAGAAGCTTCGTTTCTCAGCTTCTCGACTTCCGATTGACGATCCGTTTTGAGGTAGGGGTCCTATTACTTAACTTTTGTGGAATTTTATTTAATTTAATTTATTTTGTTAAATTTGAGAAGATTGAAATTGTATACCAAACTTATTTATTACTGTTGACACGATAGTGAGATAGTGTGCTAACAGTAGGTGTGGCCGTTCACCATCCCTGGGTGTGAACCCGAAAAGGTAAAAGAGGGGAGAGGTGATGACGCTCTCCGGGGTTGAGAATCCCTAAGGTTACTGTACAGTGGTTGCGTCTTGGTGAGGGCTCAGAACGACAGTTCACCCTTGCCCGTGGTTCGAGAACTGATCTGGTAGGGACGCCGAGATAGAGCTCCTTGCTATCAGTGCCTCTGAATCACTGCGCCCTTCGGGGGTTTTTTTCGTCACGAGCGTACGGATTAGGTTATCTCACTGATACTGATCATCTGACTCATTATACATAAAACATAAAAACTACTAACCATGCAGGTTTAATTGGAAAACTATATAAAACTAAAGGTGAGTAATAGTCATCCTACTGAGCATTTCATGCTCACCCCCTTTCTCTTCCTATCCCCAGGTGGTGTGCAGTGTAATCTTTCAGACGAAGAGTAGACGTCTCACAGTGTGCACGTGTTGGAGACCTATCCCTTCTTTTGGTCTTCTTTTTTTATGTAAGATTCTGACTGGGTTGTTTTCAACATGGATGTGACTGATGATAGTTGTATTATTTTAGTATTTTACTCGGTGCTACATTGTACTGTGGATTTCTGATTTAATTTTCTTTGTCGAGTTGTGATTTTAATCATGAGTTTTTCGTTAAAAGTCCCATGCACACTTGCCGTTTATATTTCAGGAGTTATATTTTATTTTCATTTTCGTTTATCCATCGTATTTTATTCTTATTACGTAACCCCCACCTAGGGGTGTTACAGATCTTTACCCGCTATGGATACTTTATCTATCTTAAAAAATATATATATAAAAAATAAGTTCATTAATCTTTTTTTTCTCATTTCAATAATTTAGTTCTTTATCTTCTCTTATATTTTTATTTTTATATTTTGTAGGCTCAAAATGATGTCTTCAACAATCTCATGATCTTAGGATCTGTTTTTTTTTTTTCTTCCAGGCAATTAAATAAATCATAAGTGTTGTTTCTCTTACATCACTTGGTGATTTATTCAAACTTGCTCTTTAAATAGAAAAAATACATTATTTGGTTGAATTTCTTTCCACTTCTTTTGAGTCTCTCTCTACTCAAATAAATAAATAAATCAATCAATTTAAGAATTATCCGGCTTGACAAGAAGGTCAAGGATCAAATCGTTTCAAATACCGATAATCATGTGCCAACAACTAAAAATCCAAATAAAAAATAGAAAACGTTTTCTTGGAAGTGGAAGAAGAATTAGCCAAGAAACATCTGCTAAGAATAACATAAGATCAAAATCTTAAGGAATGTTTGTTTCTTGTATTCATCCCTGATTCTGAATTATAATTCATAATTTTTTATAATATTTTCTTCTCACAAAAAATACATGTAAAACAAGAATAATTCTGAATCATGATTCTGAATTCATAAACCAACGTCCACTTAATAATGAAAAAATAGAGGCAAGAACCTGAATTTAAAGTGCATTTGGAGCAAAGATCCGTAACATGATTCAAATCATAATTCGTGACTCGCTACAATATTTTCTCTCATAAAAAATACACGTAAACCAAAACTAATTCTGAATCCATGAACCAGCTTAAAGATAACAAGTTTAATTCCTCCCGGTTTCCACTCCAAGGTCAACAAAAAGCACATCAAAACGTTTAAATCATAGAATGCTCAAGCAGACTACGCAAAGGTGGATACATGTATAGTGTTAGGGCGCTCAGCCAATTGAAGGCCACTATTATTTATGGAGAGAGAATGTATTTTTGCTCAGAAACGCCAATTACGCAAGTAAATCCCAAAAAGATGTTTTTTTTTTTTTTTTTTTAAGGAAAAAAGTACGTAAAGTTGATGTTTTATGTTTAAATAGGAGCTAATGTAAATTGGCTATCCGCAATTTGGTGACACGAGCAAATAGACACTATCAATCAATTGAAATGGTAATTTAGACCTCGTTCGCTTTACGGATTCGAGTTTTCAATTTAAGCTAAGATGTGATATTTTCTGAGAGCTTTTAACTATAGAAACTTAAAACTGAAAACTAAAATTGGTGAAATGAACGAGGTGTTAATTTATCTCACTAGCCATTTTGTCCCAAAGCAACGGAGATGAAATATAAAATTAGTCTAGCAAGACAATACACTAAATATAATGCAGCAACGCGCAAGGGCAAACGATCTTTTTCCATCCATAACCTCCCCCATCCATTGAAGGCCCAAGGAACAAGGGATAGGGTTCTGACCTTTCCCTGGCACCGCGGGGGCAGAGGCGGCAACGAAGGCTGTAGTGGATGTTTGTGACTCTATCCATAGGCTTAGGACTCAATAGGGAGATCCTTGTGGGTGTAGACGACCCCTTTATCACCGTCAACTACTTGCCCACTTCCTTTGAGGATCCTGCAATTGCAACATGGCAGCAGTAGTTACTTCCAGAGAAAAAATGTTGAACCCTTCATATACATTCGAAAAAAATGTGATTTGGTAGTATCATGAATCTATATCACTGAGATCATAAGTTTTTGTATTCCACACTCAGTGCTCCCTCTGGATGCTAACTACTGTTCAAGAAATTGACAAGATCAGTAAGAAAAGTGCAAACAAGGAATCTGCAATCAATACCATCTTGTTGTTAGCAATCCTTCCACTCCTACAGGACCACGAGCATGAATTCGACTTGTGCTTATTCCAACCTGTAATGCAATCAAATATAATCAAATATAAGATATGCAAATTAGGATACTAACTTTTATGGCAAGTGTAGCACATTAGTATTATACCTCTGCACCTAGTCCAAATCGAGCGCCATCACAAAATCTTGTGCTTGCATTATGGAAAACAGCAGCACTGCCATTGCATAAAACAAGTCACATCCCATTAGTACGGTAGCACACCATCTTAAATAGCTAATAGCACTTGAGAAAACATAAATCACAATTAGAGGCAATTGATCAAGCTGACATTGTATGTTCTAGAATTTGAGGTTAAGTATTATCACCTGTCAACTTGACGTAGAAAAACTTCCACAACTTCTTGGTCTTCTGCTATGATGCAATCAGTATGTGCACTGTTTAAAGCAGGACAAATCAGAAAAATATATCTCTGTATAATATCTAGAAATCCACATGATTACATTTGGGGAGTGGGAATGATGACAGAAAGACATGGCTTTATCAAAGTAAAAGTGCAGACTTGCCTTCCGTGTTTATGAATGTGATCAATGGCTGCATATACATCATCCACGAACTCAATAGTGCAAGCCAGTGAGCTGTACTCATGATGAAATGAACGTGCCTCTGGAATATTCAGTTCAGAACTTGCTCTAGGTCCACCATATAAAGTAACACCTGAAAAAAATAAATATAGACCCAGCAAGCTGTGCCTTTAGATCATCTCAATGCTGTGTTTCAGTGAGGAATTTTTCTAAATTGTTAGTTAAAAGATGGAGCTCAGCTTTATAGTAAAGCATATATTTATTCTCTTGCATGGCAATGCTGGAAAAATAATTACTAAGCAATAAATACGAAACTACTGAGATAATTTAAATTAGAAGGAATATGGTGGAAACTATCTAGCTAGGCATCTATGCGTATTAAGAAGAATCGGTTTGTTCCAATAGCAAAATGAAAGTTTCAGAAAACTATAAAATCAAAGAGTAATATAATTCTCTTTATCCTAATGAAACATAAATTTTAACTTGGAAAACTGTACTGACATGTAGCTAAGAGTTCATAGCCTGTCTGGACCTTTCTCCAGACAGACTGAGACATGACAATATTTGTAAACCAACAAGTTGATTCATTAGTGTTCAACTCAATGAACATCAAAAGCGTACCAATGGACTCAAGAGCAGAGTAAACAGGTGAGGTTGGCTGATGATACAGTAATTAATAGTTTCGAAAGGAACTTAATATGCTATAAAGAACCACCAGAAAGAAGGAGGGAGTTCAAGTAGAAGGAAAGGAAGTGAAATCGATAAACTCATAGATTAAGAAAGCAATTTTCAAAGAAGCTGTACCTTCAGTGCGAAGGTCAACAATGAGCTCATTAAGAGCACTTGTATGCATTAAATCCTTGTGAACAAGGAGTGTTTCCTGAGAACAGCATACAGAAAAGTAAGGAAAGAGACAAACCATGAATAAGCAAGGCATAAAGACAAAGGTAATCAAAACTTGTGCTTGCAAATAAAAATGGTTGGAGAATGTCATCTGAAAGAAGATTATCACACAAAGGATTGCACACATGACACAACAAATAGGTTACCATGGCATTGCAAGCTGCTGGATAATCCAGTTTTACGTCAAAAACAATTTGCTTTGCCACGTCCATCTTAGCAGACTTATCAAGGTAGACATGGCAGATTCCATCTGAAGAAAAAATGCAGTTTCTTGCTTAAATATCCAGAAACACGTTCTATCCAGAAAAGAAAAGCACCTGATAAGTTCAGTTATCTAACCAGCATGCCCCAGGACAGGAATCTTGGTAGAACTTTTTATTTGAGAAACCAACTTATTGCTGCCTCTTGGGATCACTAAATCTATCACATCATCAAGCTAGAATATAATATAAATAGTCAGTAACAATTATCATCTCAGAGTCAATAGATAAAGGCATTGGTAACACTCTGAGCTCTATACACCTTAAGTAGATCAGGAATCTCTTCTCTTGTAGTCACAAGTCCAATTAGTTTTCCTCCAACAGTTTCTGGGATGGCTTCAGTGATAACCTACAAAATTTTGTAGAAGAGAGAGTTAAAGAAATGATGGAAAAGAACCACCACAGCAGCTTATACATTCTGTAGTAATTAACTGGATATAAGAAACAAACCTTGTGCAGAATTGCATTTGATCGTTTGGCTTCCTTTCCACCTTTCAGAAGAAGCCCATTGCCACTACGGATTGCTAGTGAAGCTATCTGCTCAAACATAAAGAAAACCATGTACTGATGTTCAGCAACTCTTATTTATAATGAAATTATAAGAAACTTGGGTATTATCCAGATTATAAAGCTCCAACAGATCCCACTGGTAACTTCCTTGTAACTTAAATATGATACAATTGTGAACCCTTCTATTTCAATACCAAGGCCGATAAAGTTTCATATCAGCTGACAGAGGAACATTGAAAGTTGATCACAGGCACAACAAAGTCTAGGCTACACGTCCAAACTAGTTTCATACTAAACGTGCAGCTTCAAGAGAGGGAGGGAGGGAGAGAGAGAGAGAGAGAGAGGAGTGAAAACAAAAAGGAAAAACAAAAAGTGGTGGGTCCTGAATGTAATTATTACCTGTACTAGTGCATCAGGCCGAGACTCAAAAACAATCAGGAGGACGCCCAACGGACTTGATGTTTTCTCTAATATAAGTCCATCTGCAATCTATAAAGTATAGTAATCATAAGAAACATCAAATATCAATAATCAAAAGAACAAGAAACTAAAAATCCAATTTAGTCAAACTGTAGACAATCTTTTGGTGTTTTCCATTTTAGAAACCTAGCCTTTTCAAACCTGCATCAAGTGTGACAAATTTTAGAGCAAATGGTCTGACTTGACATAACATTCCTACTTAATCAAAACTTTAGTCTGGTAGTATGAATATGAAAGTGAAGTAATTTTCTTATACTCTGTTTAATTACCTCAGTTCTCTTCAAAAGACAACCAATTGGATCTTCCATGTTTGCAAGAACTCGGATAGAGTTGGCAAGGCTTTTAATCTGTCAAATGAAAAATATAAACCAAGTTGATCAAGAAATCACTTCCAGGCAAGAAATGACAGAGACTTGGAAGGAACTTAATGTAGTAAAGAAGAGAAAATAAATAAATAAATAAAATTATACTAACACTCTATGAACTGATTAGTAGTGCCCATACCTTTCCAGGCTTCAGAGCCAGTCGAGCAACCAAGGGTTTCTCATATCCTGCTAGCTGTGCTGCAGCAACATCAGCTTCATTTTCAGCACTGATCAGCTTTTCATTTGCCTCTAAGGCATCAGCTACGTCAAGCAAAATTTTTTTCCTGTCTTGTGAAGATAAGGCCTATGGTACAATATGTCAGCAAGTAAATTATACTGCTGAACGGACTCCATATGTGCTACGAAGTTTTGGAGGCAAACAGTGACTAAAGCACTAGAAGAAAGGCAAAAGGCTACCTGAAGTCGTCTTGAGCTCTCCCTTGCAGCAACTGCCATTTGGCGCGCATCAACTTCGTTAACCGGGGCCAATAAGTGTGCATCTTGGTGAAAGAGGGTACCAATTCGCTGTCCTTTAAGAACCTTAATAATGTTTTCTGGTGCATACCCACTTCAAAAGAAAACGAAAAAGAAAAAAGTTGCGCATCATACACATTTGTTTCAAATACCAACTACAGGTAGCTTAAAGTTTGCAGTTTATTAAGAAGGAATTAACATATAAACATTACGGGGCAGGAAAGAAAGAAGAAACAAAGGCCCACATCACACACTCTCAACAATTACTTTAATAATCAAAAAAGCAAAATGATAGCTTTTTGATTTAAATAACATGGATCTTACAGCTTAGCTTTCATTAAGTGCTTGATATTTCCAAAACTTGGGATTAAATCATCAAACTATGATAGTACCGTTAGTACGCCATAATAGTTTCATCACTTAAATGACACAGCTCAAATATGGTTCAGAAGCATGTAGCATAAAGCAATACCTGGTGATAACAACCGGTATTCCAGCATAAGCTGCATTGACAGCAGCTTTTACTTTGGCAGTCATACCTCCTCTTCCTACTCTAGATTTGTCTCCAAAAGTAATTTCACACTGATGCTTTTCCTTAATGTATGTGTGGATAAGCTTCGAATTTGGATCACTTGGAGGGCCACTATAGAGACCCTCTACATCGCTCAAGAGAACAAGAAGATCAGCCTTCAGTTCTAAAGCTAGAAGAGCCGACAAACTGTCATTATCCCAAAATATACCAGAAGAATCCTGCAAAGAGTGCTTATGAACAAAACTGTACAGTAAAAACTAAACTAGTCGAGAACTGAGAAATTGTAAAAGAAAGATACCTCGTATGGAGCTTTTCTAGTACTGACTGCATCATTTTCATTAAGTATAGGAACAACTTTAAGAGATAACAATGATGTCACAGTTTCACTCAGTTGTTTTCTAAATTCTTTATCCCTGAAATCATTGTCCGTTACAAGAAGCTGAGCCGACGTCACATCAAGCTGCGAAGTAGAAAACATAAATGAAAGTAAATTAGACGAATATGGGAACAACTAAACAGACATGCACGTTAAGACTCTCACCAAACAAAACATGCTAGTAAGAACTTGTATAGCTAGACCCAAAGTAAATATAAAAAAAAAATCAATTCTGAAAACAAATAAACTATAAAAGACCAAGACCATAACCACCTGAATAAACAATGTGTCGTAGAGAGCCATAAGACTGTTCTGTCCAACAGCCGCACATGCCTTCCCATCAATTTCAACTTGCGGTTTTTGGAGATCAGCAAAACTGGTAGAAAAATATTAACTATCAACTATTAAGAAAATAAATATCTTAAACACGTTTCGAAATCAGCATTGCTTTAGAATGCTAAGAAATCGACAACAATGTAAACCAAACATCAAAAGAACAAAGAGAAAAACCTGCTGTTAATCAATTTCCTATATCGGAGCCTTTGGCGACCAAGACCAACAGCGCCTGAGGTCACCAAAATAACCTCATATCCTAGAGAATTCAACTCCTTAATCTGCAAGAAATTTTAAATTTAACATCAGAATTACAGTTTTCCCAATTTAACATATAATGCGTGCTCAATTCGACATGTGCAACCGCGTAATACCTGCTCGCAAAGAGCACCTAGTCTTCCAAGCGCTAATCTTCCATCATTCCGAGTAACAACCGCAGTTCCAACCTCCACAAAGTAAAACACAACGTCAAAAATATTTTCCTTTTCATATCAATTTAATTAACATCAAAAAATTAACCGAAGAAATATGCGAAATTTTCTTCATCTCTTTACGCAGTTATCTCTGATAGAAGTCAACTGAGAGAGGAAAAAAAACATCTCGAATATTATCAAATAAGCTGTAATCTATTCATTCCCTTTACGATTTCACCAAGCAAATGAACATGTTTTCAGACGTTATAAACCAAATGCAAGCGAAAGCATTCGAAAAGAAAAGAACTTTTCTTCCTACTTATCGATTTTCGAACCAAAAGGAAATATTTTCCGGTTAAATTTCTCGGAAAATTGGGGATTTCGAGCATGAATCGAGAATGTGAGAGACATACCTTGATGATGAGGCGCTTAACGTCCTTGAGGAAAGCTCGAGAACGATCCATGTCGCTCATGGTCGCTGACTCGACGGCGACTCGTCGGCGGCGGCGAACTCGGACTGAGTCCAGAAACGAGGCGACTCGTGAAGTGTTTGTAGAAGTGTTGCAGTGTTGTTATCTGATACTGATAGATAGGGTTCTTTTGGATTCAGACGGGCTCTTTTTATTTATCAAACAAACGATAAATATCAGGTTGTGACTGCGTAAGACTCCGGAAGAGGTGGCGCCATACAGGGCGTTCTTGAATTGGCGATTTCTGGTTTCCAATCAAATGGCGCCGCGTAAGAATGAGGAAGGACTTTTTGGGGAATAGGTGGTGACGAGTCGATTTGACACAGGGATTGTTGGGGGAGCTTAGGTGGGGATTTTTGAAAAAATAAAATAAATGGAGCTGCGTACGACAACAACGCGACGGCGCATGAGTGGAGAACACGACAAATATATATATATATATATATTTTATAATTGAGAACACGACAAATATTAGTATACCATAATAATATATACTTTTCACTGAAACGACAATAGGACAAACTATACCATAGTATAATACGACGGAATGCTGCTGATGATGATAGATCCGTGTCATGCGGAAGAGGCAGAGTGGTGTCCCTTACCTGCACTGCATCTGTTATTATAATAAAAATTTTTAAAAATAGTCATATTTAATTTTTTTTCTACAGTAAAAAATTCTCATATAAAGTCACATCTTAACTCAAATTAAAAACTCGAATCAGTGAACTAAACAGAGCCAAAATGTGTGTTTGGAATCATTTTAGGGCCGTTTAGTTCGCTGATTCAAGTTTTTAATTCTAGTTGAGATGTGACGTTATGTGAGAACTTTTTACTGTAGTAAAAAAGTTAAATGTGACTGTTTCTGAAAGCTTTTTACTGTAGAAAAACTCGAGTTTTAAACTCGAATCGGCGAAATGAACGGTGCCTTTTAAAAACGATTTTTACATATTTCAAAAAAATAAAAAATAAAAATAAAAACGAAACGACGTTTATTTAGTAAATATTTTAAAAACGAAAATAAAAATAAAAACAATGAGAATAGTTTTTATGAATGAATTAGAAAACTTACTTATCAATTATATTATAATATATTAATTAATAAACACGATTTTATTTTTTTATTATACTCAAAATAATATGTAAAAAACCTACTAAACGCAATTTTAGAATCGGTCATAGAATAATTCTCAAAACAATCTCATTTTTACTTTTTATTAAAAATAAAATCATTTTGAAACAAATTCCAAACCCACTCATATCCTCTTAATTCTATTTCAATTGGATAGCTAATAGTATGAATTCAACATTTAGTATTATTATTATTGGTGCCTTCTAAACTTTGTCCCCCGCAACTTTTAAAACTCTCACATTGTCTTATAAACTTTAAATTATTTACACTTAATTTCTTCTGTCATAATATATGTTAAAAATAGATAATAAAAAAAGAATAATGCAATTATGTTGTCTTTTTATTTGAATTTCTATTAAAATCAATATGACAAAAACAATATAACTACTATTAACACCCTCTCTTTTCCATTTGATTTTAATAAAAAAAGTCTTACAAAATGACTTAAATGAGGTAAATTAAAATTTTAAGAGGCAAAGTGAAAGTTTTTAAAATTTAAGAGGTAAAATAAAATCACGTAAAATACGTCAATTTAACAAAATCAAGTAAAAATTGTCCTTTTTATACCCTACTAAAAATTTATTCGTGGAAAAATGGTTAAAAAATATTAATTTTTAGTAAGGCATGAAGAAAAACTTAACGTAGATACTTTTTAATTTTAAAAAAAATAATAAAAAAAAAAAAAACCTTCCACAATGTTTGTTACTTTATTTAATCTTATGCAATTATAATTTGATCTTAGCCTCTAAGGCTTAAAAAGCCTCTAAGGTTAATATCATATGATACTGATCTTACATATTTGATTTTGATATCAGATGTTTTACCCGCAAGCGCTTAGACAAAGAAGGTTGACTTGACTTGGATGTTGTTCAGTTAGAGGGAGGAAGCCATATAATAGTAGTTGTGGGTCTGAAGTTAAATACGTTTCCTCTCTGTTATTCTCAGTCATAAGGACTGAGCAAAGGTGTCTCCTGGGGAAGATTTCCGCATTCGACTTGGTCTAAAGGAAAATAAAAGTCAAGTATTCCAAACAAAAAAAAAAAGCCCAATTGCCCATTGTCTATGCCCTAAGAACCTTTTCTCGTTGCGTTTTGTATGCATATTTACTCAATTGGACATTCTTATTTCCTGAGACAGATTCATCCTGATTCTTCGTAACAAAAACGTGTGAGCTGCTGCTAGAATACGATAAGACGAAACTCGAAATAAACCAATGGGACGAAACACTGAAATCTTACAAGAAAAACGGTATATACACGACTGGATTCAAACAAGAAAACTTCCACACAAAAACATTCTCGCCTTCGTTAATCTTTTCTCAAAAGCTTTGGGCCACTGCAAAACTCCCTATTACAATGCAGTAATACTTGTCAGTCAGACATTAGTGTCTTTCTCCCGTTACATGTCTCAGGATCTTCATCGAGTTATAATGCAATCAAGTGAGTAATGCCAACATACAACAGACGTGTCTTCTGGAGAAAAATATCGTTCCGGTTGATTAATCAAATGCCCCACACAAATTCCTCTCGAGTAGATACTTAACTAACTTCTTCTATGTCCAAACATACTAAAACACAATCAACCTCATGGGAAGAACCAGACCTTGATGAAGACTGCCAGAGCGAATTGCAAGACAAATGCTGCCACCATTAGGATTGTAAGATCACCTCCCTCTATAGAAGACTTCAGATTCGAGGCAACAAAGCCGGCCGAGGCAGCACCAGTGGTGATTATGATTATCCACCGGAGGAACTCTACGGGGATTAGCAAGAGAAACTGAAAATAGTTCACAGCATAACGTGTTAGGTGATTTCAGAGGAGTAGGCTACAACTTCTGAAACAGTATAAAGCTATCTCTTGATTCTCTTCTGGTCATGATAAAAGCGAGCGTAAGACTAAGAGATGACCTCAATAATTGTTAGCATTTCATTTTTATTTTCCTTTTTAATGTTCTTAAACCAGTGTCCATTAATCATAAAGATGTCAAAAGATTATAATTAGGAAGAATTACACTGTTTCCAAAGAACAACAGGGCGTCTTATGTTCCACAAATGAAGGTCCAATTTGGGTTTTCATTTTTTGATCAACTAAATTCTAAAGATGAAAACATAATGGATAAACTAAAAAAGCGAAAATAAAAGAAGACAATTGCACAAGAGCAAGCAACTACTTACGGAGGCCGGCACAAAAATGAAGAGAGAGTATCCCCACATGCACCAAAACCGAACAAGACTAGGATTTGAACCCACATACTGAAGCAAGAAATAGAATGCCAATGGCACCACAGCTGCATAACCATAGATTGAACCCGCTGCCACATTCATATAGCTAACATTGAAGCTCCAAGAAGTACCCTTATCAGTGTGCTTCTGGATGAGGTACGTGGCACAATTTCCAAGTGAAGCAAGTACAAATACCAATGTAGTGGAGATCCAGATTAGCCCATATCTAAAATACAAAAAAGAATTTAGATCAAGAAGAGCAAACATTATATGCCCACGCAAGATCATTTCTGTACCACATTGTGATCTAATCACCAAATCCCTACTCATCATATTTTAAAAGCTCGAGTAACTAGTGATACTATCTTTCAACCAGCCAAGCAACTTTTACATTTGCTGTGATTAGCATGCTTTGCCCAGGATGAAGTTTTCCATTTCTGCATAATTGTATTGTACCGAAAGTGCAGGATTATAAGTTTATCATGGTGCATGTCGATAGATAGATATCTTATCTTTATACTATTGTGCTTTCATAATTGCCCATCTTTATACCCTCCTCAGAGATATGAATCCCTACATATCTTTGCAACCAAAGTTAGAACGTGGACATAGCTTCTCCCCACCCAAATTGTTTTCGTGCATATACCAAAGCATTGCAAAGTCTCAAATCATCCCTAATAACGAAAAATGAAAAGGACAAAAGATACGAATGAAAAACAGAACTAACAAGTCAGGATTAGCATCGATGTTGCTTAAAAAGTCTCCGCCAATGGGATATAAGGAACTAAGCAATCTGTTCAAGACGATGTCCGTATCCACGTTGAAATATTGAATGTATGATGAGATGCTAAATACTCCTTTCCAGTTGTTTGCTGGTTGTTGTTCAAATCCTTCTGTTTGGATGGACCCAAAAAAAAGGGGGGCATACAAACAGACATAAATAAAAAATTTAAAATAAAAAAAAAGTATTGCATATAGATGCATCGCAGTGTAAACAAGCTTCTTATCATAATAAATAAACAAAGCTCAAGCTGAAATTAGAAATGAGAGAATAAGATTTTCAACAAGTATAGTTCAATAAAAACATAAATGATAGTCATTAACCGGTGTGTCATAGAAAGATAACAAACTACAAGTCAAGGAGACAGCAAATAATTTCAATCAACAAATTTCTATGGATCCCTCCTTCAGGATAGAAACTCCAAAAGAGAGGGAAAGAAAGAAAGAAGGTTTATGGACATATTTATCAACCTAATCTCCAGTCTCCACTTTGAATTTCTATTTGACTAATCTTCAACTATCTCCATTAAATACAATTTGAACTATGTCCGAAATATAATATAAATAATAATGCGTCCTTCCATCGAACTGCACTTAAAGAGTACGAAAACAGAATATGGTCCGAACACTGATTACCCAAATCCACATGTATAACAGTAATAGCACATTACTAGTTTACTAAATCTTTAATCAGTAATTAATGGAAAAGAAAGCAAAAGAAGATAAGTGGACTAAGTAGTGAACATTGTCAAACAGAGAACATCTATTATTTATCTATCATGATACCAGTCGAACTTCCAAGAGTTTGATAGCCCCGTCCTCTGTCTCCTCCATTAGTGGGTGGGAATATTTGCATATTAGCACCTGGCGCTGCATAAAAGTACAGAAATTAATATTTAGGGAAAAACATACATAAATTATAGGCTGACCAACGTGAATAGGAGAGAAAATAGATTAAACTTCATACCCTCATAGCTTGTGGAGCTCTTTTCCTTTTCTTCATTGATAACAGCCTATTTAAATAAAAAGGTACAAAACATAATTAGTATTATATATATATATATATATATGTCACACATGGAAGAAGGCTGCAATAAAGCATAAAATAAGTTACTAAAAAAAGGTTCCCCCACAAGTAATAACCAGTCAATTACTTTCTTCAAAGAAGCTAATAGTTTTATGCCCAAAAAAAGTAAGTGATTAAATCCATTGTAAAAGGAAAGCTTAAAATGAGCTAACTTGCAGGAATGAATGATGAAAACGAATAAACGAATAAGCCACAAAAACAAGAGAATGAATTACGTAATGATAAAGACAAGACAGAGTAAAATTAACCTATAAATGTGCACTAAAATTTAACTTTTCTGGTGCGACAGAAGAAAATGAAAGGAATGACCATTATCAGCTCAAACAACAGCCAGGAGTAAAGAATCAACCAAAAAAAAAGTCAAACGAAAATCTAAACCTACAAGCAAAATGGAAAAAAAAAAAAAAAAAAAAAAAAAAAAAAAAAAAAAAAAAAAAAAAAAAGAAGAGAGACTTTCATTCCGTTAAAACTGCCCAAAGTAGAAATTATTTAAGAGATGAATTTTCTCGATCAACATTTCCTCGTTTTCTCCGGAAACAAGCAACAACGAGAATTCACAGAAGCTAATCAGTCTCGATCACTAAATGTTCCAGATCAATTGACAACCAAATCAAACAGGAATTTGATAAACGTGAAAATCACAAAGAACGGGAAAATTGAATCTATACATAGTCAATTTCGCGAGGAGAGCGCAATCATCGCAATTGTAAATAGCAATGGAGCAGAAAACGTACAGGAACTGAGCCGAGCAAATGGCTGGTGGGGAGGTTCTTGAAGGACTCGTCCATTGCAATCGGAAATTAAAGAGAGAGAAATGGAGAAAGAGTGAGTTTCGTAGCTCAGAAGGTCATCGATGCGATGAAAATGGCGGAGATTCGAGGTGTTTTTGGCTATGGGAGCTGATTCTGAGACGAACCCTAGACGACGTTGCTTTTTCGTAGTTAGGAAATAACACAGAAGACGAGAGAGAGACCGAATTAAAAGAACGGTTAAGGAGTGAAATCTTTTTCCACGCGCCAATTGAGAAGCGATTGCATTCACGCATTTGTTGATTCTTTCCCGAGTCTCCCGACGTGGTGTATGATAAGTTTGGGCCTTCGGGCACGGACTCGCGGATGAATTGACGGACCAAAAGGATAGGTAGGTGAATCTTTTGGGCTGAATTGCTACTTTATGGGCCAGGCTATGGCTTTGAGCAGAGGGTTATTTACGGGTGGTTTTGATAAGACATTGGTGGATGGCAATGGGACGGAGGGGGGCAGAGAGGATGATTTCTCATCCTCATCCTCACTACTTAAATTATTATATTCTTGGGGTATGTTTAGTTCGCTAATTTAAATTTTTAATTTGAGTTGAGATGTGACTTTATGTGAGAACTTTTTACTGTAGTAAAAAAGTTAGATGTGATTGTTTATGAGAGCTTTTTACTGTAACAAAACTCAAATTTTAAACTCGAATCAGCGAAATGAACGGGGCCCTCTCATCTCTGTTAAGAACGGGCAGGGTTAGAGGAGTCATTTTCATACATGTCTTATTTTTCATCATATAGAATTATGTATTTTAAAATTATAACAATTTATAATAAAAATAAATTTAGAGTAAAATCAAAGGTTCCATGATAAAAACTAAATTCTTAACATATTGTAAATTGAATATAAAAGTAATAACTAACATATAAGCGAAAAAAGTTTTAGAACATCAAAATATAAAAGTAAATTATACTTCCTTATTTATTCCTAATAGTTTCAATTTTTATTACATGGTTGCACATTAATATGGAGCACAAACGGGGTTGGGAGTGCTTCCTTGTTCCCACCCGGCCATGAATCGGGGACTAGAATTTATCCCACCCCTATCCCTGATAATTGTCCCCCATCTCTACTCTGAACGGGGCCGGCCCTATCTCTATAGGGAATATTATCATCCATACTGACATAACAAGTAATTCTCTCGTAAAGTTTATCCAATGCAAATAAATTGTTTGTATTTGCTTGAAATATGTGGGTGTCTATAAATTAAGCAACTAACGAAGGTAATTAAGGGTTCAGCTATATATGTAATTCTTCTATGATTAAACTGACTTTAAACTATGATCTTGAATCAAGCATGCAGGGTCACATGCCTCCATGATCGACCAGAATGGAGGCATTGAAGGGCCGAGAATTCAACAATTCTTTCTTGCGTCGGATAGCATTCATGAAAAGCCATACGTCGATTAGAGGCATGCAGATGAAATTATTTTGGAGATAGTTCCAATTTATTCTCCAATAATACCAAATTGAACGCTCATATACGAAATTAACTTGAAGTAATTGTGATAAAGAAGTTTGTAGCTTCACAGGAAGCTTGATTTCACTTTCTAGTTTCAAGGTATATACACGGCCTCGTTCACTTCGCGGATTCGAGTTTTCAATTTGAGCTGAGATATGACATTTTCTAAGAGTTTTTCACTGTAATAGAAAAAGTCAGATGTGACATTTTCTGAGAGCTTATACCTGTAAAAATCTAAAACTGAAAACTTGAATCGGTGAAATGAATGAGGTAAAAAGTTTTTCTACTTTCGCTAAAATACAAGGGATATATTTATAACAATCCCTTAGAATCCTAAAAGATTTAATTTTAAAAACTAGAAATTTGGGAATATTGTAATTATTGAGTTAAAATCAACACATTAATTAATAAACAACCAAACTGCTAAAAATTGGCAGAGGTTATATGTATTTGATGATGGTGTTAAATTTAGCATCAACTATATATATTCTAAATTTGACATTAACCACAATTATATTCTGGAATAATTTTGTCACCCAAAATACCAAATCTTGTGTTGGCAAAGGAATTTGATATTGAAATGAGACGGATGGTTTAACAAAATCATTCACAACCTTTAGAACTTGATTATTGTCTTCAAATATTGCTTGATGTCTTAGAACTTGAATTGGAGATTCCCTTGCATTATCACCTCGTCACCAACATCCCAACATCAATGGTAATGTTCTTCCAAATTAGGCCAGCTTTAAAGCAAGACTACATTGAGTTGATCTATCCCCAAACAATATTTAAAAAATGGATACACCTAAACTCTGATTGACTCTATATGTTTGTACAAATTTCCAAATATCAATTCTTGGTAGTCGGATCCCCTTATTCATCGTCTTTCTCTCACTCCTCGATTAGTGGGCGCTAGAGGTCGTCCTGTAGAGGACACTCCGAAGCTTAAGTCAGGCAAGTATCGCAAAGAGGGCTAAAGAGAACAAAAGAATTAAGACAAAAAAGAGAATTTAATATAACAGTGTCCCTTCCGATTCTCTAAGGATCGGCCCTTCCATTGTTCTCATCGTTGTCTATTTATATGACACATGTCATGATCAGATCAATATTCCTGATTCACTCTAATCATGACATGTCCTTATTTTTCTTCTTTTAAGGTTTCTCCAAGGACATCCCGCCTTTGGAATATCCTCAGAGGTTTCCCTCCATTAGAAAGGTCACTTTCCATTCCGTTATTCACCTTTACAGGTGTCATGCCCGGTTGGGCGCATTTATTAGGGAGGATAGTGGGGGGCGTGTCACTATATGAAAATTCTCCTTCTGACATGAGTCATCCCCACTATCTTCCTCCGTCTCGGTCTATATCGATCTCGTAGCGTCGGAGTTCTCTGTTATCCTCCTCGATCGAGGTTGTATCCTCTCTCGATCGAGATGAGATTCGGTCTATGGTTCGGTCAATACACTTGAACTGGGTTTTGGTTCCTCATTCTAATTTTGTCTCGTGACACGTGTCAAGGGATCTTCGAAAAAGTCCCCCAACAATATCTTTATCTCCTAAAAACATTTTCTGCATTATTCGGCTAAGGAAAATGCTTATTGCATGAAATGTTTTTACAGAATTTTATAAAGAAAGATCAGATCGAGTGAGAAAGTGGAGAGTTGCTATAAGAATCACATGGCGTGCTAAGAGTCATTCTAATTTTTTATTTTAAGTTTAAAAAAAGTTTGTGAAGTCTAGTACTTAACTTTAGCTATGCATTAAGACGCAATACACAAACAAACAGGTTCTTTTTAAAGAACTTAAAAGAGTGGAAGAAATTATGACATGGACTTTCTCCTTAATTGAAATTGAATAAATCAAATCCTAATCTAACTCAAATTATTTAAACTAAGGGCTTATCTCCTAATCTAATTCAAATCAATAATTAAAAATGAGTTAAACTTTAAATAAAAGTATCATGAAAATTCAATAGTTTTATCTCTTTTATGGAATTTAGCAGTTTCCTTAATGCTCCTCCCAAGTCAAGAAGAAACAAACCAAGAAAAAAATTACTGTTCAGAGCAATTATGATTTACATGCATTATGGTTTACATTCTATATAACATATCATGCTTTTTTTACATATTATTTATTTTTTAGTATGTTCAAAGAAATATACCTCGTAGATATTTGCATGTGCTCATGAAAATAAAAGCTTGATGATTACTTCATTCCTCAATTAGTCCTTGAACACAATATCCAGCAAAAAATATTGAGTTCCAGAACAATTAATTATCTGTATTTTCTGAAGTCCATCAAAATAAAGACAGGGATGCATCCATCCTCTTTAAGTGTTACAACCTTTCACATAAAGATACCTTTTCAATTTGAAGGTTATCTTTTATATGCTGATGCACTTATATCAATAGTTATTTCTATTGTTAATAAGTGCTCAGATATGTGAGAAAACATATCACAAATAGATGCAATGGTTCGAGACCTTTTCAGATCACTAAAACACACGAAAACACATTTTCCGTTAACAATTTGCGCTACAGCGCCCAAAAGGCGCGCTGCAGTGCACGGGCTTAGCAAAACAAACCCGAGAGCTCTGTTTTACGCAGGCTGCAGTGCGCGTCCGTGCGTTGCAGTGCGCACTCCTGTGCGCTGCAGCGTGCGCTTGTGTCCGGCCACTCCGAATGTGTTTTAAGCCAATTTTTGTGATATCAAAATTGAGAGATATATTACAATCTCTCTAACAATCCCCCACTAGATTGTAATATTTCTTTAGAATTAACAACGATAAACACATACATACATGAAGGTATCTTTCAATTTTAACCTTTACTTAGTGACTATACTTCAAAGTATTCACAAGACAATAGTGTGCTTTGCATTAAACTTTGTCTCTTAAGCAAATATCAAAAATATATCACATATGTGTTATCCCAGATTTCAAAACTGTTCCAATCGTTTAGCACTATTCTGGCCTTGTGCTCTATCTTGGATTCATGAACATTTACAAGACTAAACCAAGGTCTTGTTAGGAACTACACCATTCCTTATGTTCACTTAGGTGAAGTTCGAATTATATCTCTAGCTACTAGGAGACTCGAACTCCATTAAGAGTATAAACTCAACCCCAACCACGTAGCTATTTTTGCACCGATATCTTGGAAGGGACTAATTAAAGTTCGGTGTTAACCCGGTCACATAACAATAATTTGTTCTTACCCATTTAACTATAGATCAGCGGTACAATTATTACATAGTTGGGTTACCATCATTGGTGACTCTTTCAAAGAAAGGTTTCAGTCCCATTCCACTAGATGTTTCTTTGACTAAATCTCTTGAAAGACCTTTCGTCAAAGGATCCGCTAGGTTCTTGTTTGTCATAACATAAACAATATTAATAACACCATCGGTTATTAATTGTTTAACATATTCATGTCTCAAGTTAATATGTCTAGATTTTCCATTATAAACCTTGTTATAAGCTCTAGACAAAGTAGTTTCACTATCACAGTATAAAGAAATAGATGGCATCGATTGTGGCCACAACTCAATATCGAGCAATAGATTTCTTAGCCATTTCGCTTCTTTGCCTGCAGCGGCAAGTGCTATAAACTCACTCTCCATCGTAAAGTGAGTTATGCACGTTTGTTTCTTAGAAGCCCAAGAGACGGCTCCTCCTGCAATTGTGAAAATCCAC